ATGCCTTGACGGTCTGCAGACAGAAATCCTTTATCACACATTTTATTCTCTGGGCATCCTCTTTTAGGCACTGGATGTTTAGCTACATGGACTTCTAGTGTGCCTCAGCGTGACCATAAGGAAGCACAGCAAAACATCACCAACGAAAGCTATCACTACCAGGCTTTTCAGTCATGTTTTGATGGAGCTTTAGCATTATGAGTGGTCAGTTAAATTTCAAATGTTGTGTGTACAGGCAACCAAAAATGACTTCCCTTCTCCTCCTGAACCATTTATGAGCTGCAGGTTTCTCTGTATGTCCCCCATCATCATAATCCATACTGCTGCCTCCTCTAGGTGATGGGCTTGTAATGAGTTTAAGCTGACTACAGCTTTTGGAAAAGCAGAATTGCATTAATACGTGTGTCTTGAGACATCATCTCTATTTCATAATTATATAGTCTACCTACAAAGGGAAGGGAAAAAAAAAAGTATTTGAGTACTAAAAGAACAGCTTAAAGGAACTCAGAAGTCAGTTTTTCTGTATGGCTCCTACCTGCCCCTATGCTTTGATTCTGTATTTGGCTGTAATGTTCAAGATCTTCTCCTACCTGCCCCTATGCTTTGATTCTGGATAGTATCCGTATTTGGTTGTAATGTTCAAGATCTTTTGATGTAGTCGTTGATGGGTAAAATAGAGAGCATTTACTGTAGGCTGAGTCTGTCCTCACTATATCAACAGCAATAATTATCACTAATCCATTACTAGGATTCTTACGTTGCTCTTACAGCTTTTAAAACAGAAGCAGGTGTGTAGTAGAATACAGAAGGAATCCCAACTTTGAGGAATCCGATCTAGAAAATTACTTCCAGTTGTAAACAAGAGGCTGAGAATATGAAAAGATAAATTATACAGTAATGAGTCCTACACACAATGCACAAGTGGTAACGCATCTCGGTCCTTTTTGCAAGTTTGTAGGTTGCTTACCTAATACGGTAGATATTGCCATATGGTATACCAAAGAGAGTGTCAGAAAACAAGGACATGAAGATTTCTAGGCTTTTTTTTTTCCCCCTACTTTGGTATGCAACTGTAAACTACCTTCCAGCTGTCCTAGAATACTATCAAGAGAAGAATATAGCCTGCTTTTACCCTCTACGTTGATTATTACTGTCCTTGAATAACTTAATGCATCTCTGATGTCACCATCTCTCTCCATCACTCTTGCTGGCCCCGTGGCCCATCTTTAGGCTGTGCTTGTGCTCAGATGCTGTAGATAAAAGGACTTGCAGCCAGTGTCCCGCTTGGGCTGCTTCAGCTTAAATCTAGCTGTTTACTTCAAGAACTGATTTGAGCAGCTGATGTAGATTAACTCTTTCACAGTTTGGGGAATAGGAATAGACTTCTGTACTAGTGGGAATGTGACTAGACTTTATTCGCTTTACAACCTTGCTTGACAAAACATTTTGGCATTGTAAGAAATGGCCCACACAATTTGCTACAGTATCGGTGAATTCACAACTACTTTGCAGTGTTATAATTTGGCCAAAATGGAGGAAATGAAAGTTAAAAGCAATTGAGGGGAAAGGGCATTGTCTGAATTGTGAATGATGACTGAGAAGAGCTTTGAAAACTATAGAAGGTTTGAGGCGAGAATAAAAGATTCATTTCATAACTTTCTCTTATGTAGGAACGTTCACAGATTTGGGGCAGGGTAAGATACGTGACAGCATTTCAGTATTTTTCCCCACCATTTATTGGGACAGCTGGTGAACAGAAATTTATGTGACAGCAGTACACGTGACTGGCACAAATATATAATGCAGAAAGCATTAGTATCTATGTTTGGACAATCCCAAGTAAAGAATGGTTTGTCTCAGACCTATTTAAAGCAGCCCAGACACCTTGCAGCTCTCATTCTTTTAAGTCTACATCTTCACAGTCTCAAGTCAGCTCTCAGGACTGTAAATTCAGGACATTATTAAGCAACGCATTAGCAGGTGCTGAGTTTGCTCCACCGCAGCACAGCTCCAGCCTTCAATTCCCACATCCCCAGTGCATAAGAGTAAGGCTTAATTTATAGTACTGAAACAGGCGGCGTTATGAGGCTAAACTTGGTTCCTGTTAAACTGCACGCCGCGCTTTGCGCGGTGCCGCGCGGATTGCAGGGGCAGCGCGTCGCAAGGGCAGACGCTTGTGAAAGCGCAGGCTGCGGCGGCCGCGCGCACTTCCCCCACGAGGGCGGCA